ACAGGGTGGTGACGGGGAAGTCTTACTCAAATCTAAATACAGCCGCTGCCTGCTGATCCAGAGGCTGAGATCACTTTGGGAGATTGTGCTGAGCATTTCTATGATGTGATTTCTTTAAAAAAAAAAAAAAAAGCAAAAACCAAAAACCTGTCTCAGCTTGCTTCTGCTGTAGTCTGTCAACAGGTGAAGAAGCAGAAAAGCAAAGTTATGGACTGTGGTACAGAAAAATGCTCATTTTTATTTCACCTTTCAAAAGCATCAAGTTTCTTCAAATTAGAAGAAATTCTGTCCCTTTTCTAAAAGCTTGAAAACAGGTGTTAAGAAGTTGAGTTACTTACCCAATTTCCTGACCTCTTAACCAAGTTGCAAAGACAAATCCATCTCTATGTGGAATATACCTGGAAATATTTTCTGAAGCTCATGTAAAAATACTAATTGAAATAATCATAAAAGTCTTCGCAGCTTAACAGTTGCTTTCAAATGCATTCTCACTTAAAATGACGTTGACTCAACCTTTAGTGCCATCTTGTTAGAAATCTCTGAACCATGAGAGCCACATGGAGGAAGAAACAAACGTGCAGACTGAAGTGTAAAAGAAGATGAAGCAGAGGTCCAAGTAATTGACAGCGTGTGCACCCACATCAGCCACGGTAGCAGGAATATGGGATGCTGGAGGCCAGCGATGTCAGTACAAGTTGTTAGCTGCATGCTATCTCCGGCATTTCTGTCTCAATGGATCTAGAACTTCCATCACCATTTGAATGCTGGGAAAACCTCTGAGAGGCCCACCTTGCTTGTACCAAATCAGTACCTTTTGATCCTTTGTCCTGGTCTTATGACAGTCTGGACTAGTTCTGTTATCAGTTGTGGTGGAGTGTAACATGTGCACAAATCGTCCCTTCAGTTGAAAAATCATAAAGAATAAAAAATGACATGGAGAGTAAGAGCTTCGGTGCCAAAAAATACTAAGGACAACTGAAACTGGACGTGCAAGGGCTAGGACTAAGAAAAATGAACATGTTTTTCTAACTATGGTAGAGAAAGGACTAAAGCACTGCCATGTCTCTAGGAGTAGAATAAATCTAGTTATAAAAATCAAGAGGACCTTTTATCTGTAAAATGGGTTAATAACATTAGTCATCTCATTGAATTATTTGAGGACTAAATAAATTGATTGATTTATTTAAAGTGTTTGGAATAGGGCCAGGCACATAAGACTTCTTAAAATAATTATCATTTATTAAAATGAATGCCACAGAAAAGAAGGCTGCTACAAGGACAATTAAGAATCTCTTCATTCAACAACTTTTTTCCTTGTAACTTCCTTTCTGGCTTAAACCAAAGAATGCCAAAGAAAGCACTGAAGAATATAAAATTAATGTATTTTTCCCTAGTGAATTAAGGAAAAAAAATATAAACAATGTAAAAAATATCAAATATCAAATGCAATTGTCAACTTTTTATTATTGTAAGAGTTTGTTTTATATTCAACATTATGTGTACATTTAGTTTCACTCCCCATTTACCATGTTCAACCCTAACCCAGTTTCCTCCCCTCCCTACCCTGTAACCCTCCCCCGTGCCCCTCATATTTATGCACTCCTGTTTGTCCTGCATTTCCTCAATTTGAATGTTGGTCCTCTGGTGTTCCGTGGTCTATTGCTCTAAGGGATATATTACCATAGAGTATGTGGTGCGTCATCCTGGGTTGAGTGGTCTGTGTGTACATCTTGTTAACTACTGGGCTGAGAGTTCACCCCTCGGAGTGAGTTTTATTCCAGGTGCAGAATGTATTCCACGGCCATAGTATTGGGGGTCTCACCAGACTCCATCCGACCAGTAATTCTGGTCATTATTGTTTTTGGATTTTGTTCCACATTTTTCCTCCCACTCTATCCAGCATCTCCACATTTAATCCTTTCCTGAGTGGCTGGCATTGGTAGCTGGTCACCATCCAGTTCTTCTGGTCTCGAGGGCCATTGTGTCCTAGGGCTGATTGCTTCCAAATGCCTTTTTTTTTTTTTTTCTTTTCTCACATTCTTCTTTGCTTCTGATGCTAGGAGATCATTAGCTGCATCTTAGATGGCTGCTTAAAAGCTTTTAAGACCCCAGTCGCTACTCACCAATGCAGGATGCAGAACAAGGCTTTTATGTATTTTCTTGTGCCAATGGAGTCTGGTGTCCCCCAGTGCTATGGTCCTAAGATGGTAGATCTATTGGATCTCTCTCCCACCATGTCTGGGTGTCTGTGAGGGATTACTCTGTGTCTGTCTTCTATTGTTTCTGTAAGGATTGCAGGTTATTGGTGTCTGTGTCAATGTATTTGGTTGTTTGAACTTCCACCTAGATTCAGAAAACTGCAAGAAAAAGAGACATTAGGGAAGAATGAAAACTGAGAATTTCTAGAGGGAAAAAAAAAGGACTCCATCCCCTTCAAAGCAAATGGCCACACTGCCTGCTCTTGTGGAGCATGTTCCTACCTTATTCTCTGGTCACCCCCTCAATTATTAAAACTATTCAGGAGTCCTTTTTCCAGCCCACTACAATAGTGTTAATAATCTCATATTCTACAGGCTGTCTCTACAGAACTTTCATTTAAGCAATCTCGTGGTAACTCTCTCGGGATTCTTAACTCCAAGAACTAGTAACTTCACTTCAGCACTTCCCTCCTCCGGTCTTCCTACTCTGCTCCTTCAACCCCCTGTCTGACCCAGATGTATCTTTTCTGTTTCCTCAATAACAATTTGCTTCTTCCCTCCCACATATAATTTTGTGTATTCTCCTGACTTCCCTTTTATTGGTAAAGATAATTAAATAAAAGGGGGGGGGAAGTACAGTCTATTTTTTTTAAAGTTACTTCACGTTAGCTTTCACACATTCCCACCCCTTATGGAAGTCTAGTTTCATATACAAGATAGGACAAGCAGAGGTAACTTGGGCATGTGCCTTCTGTGAGGAAAAGTGACTTTTAAAAAATCTTTGGTGCTTTCAGACTGGGCCATAGCTTGGGATTCTAAACTCAGTGGGACATGACAAACTTTAGAGACTAGTCCTTAGTCATTAGAATCTTCTATCTTTTTCTCTGTGTGTGTTTCTTTTTAAACAATTAGCACCATTCAGTATTCTCAGAGACAAACCAAACGTTCTTCATGTATTCTTACACATGGCTGAATTTTAGAATCTTGGGGACCATGTTTCATATTTAATATATGATCCAAGAGTTAAAATCTGGGGCAAAAGTTCACCAGATTGTGTGTGAGTCTTAATTCTCTTATCCAGTAACAATCTGTAAATCAAGTGGAAAACAACACCCACCTACACACTCTGCCACCCCCACAGCTACTCTGACAGGTCTGTCAGAAGCAGGGCCAATCAGCAGCAAGACTGCAACAGAAGGATGGGTAAGCCAATAACTAGAAAGGGGGGTGGGGGGACCCGGAACTAAAAAATAAAGGGAGAGTGTGAGAGAGGGAATAAAAACATACACGAATGGAAGAAGAAAAGAAGGAAGTGATAAAGAGAACAGAAAAAGCAGAGGAGAAAGAAGGATGAGGAAACAACAGGACTAGAGTTCTAAATCTTAAGCATGCATTTTCTTTTTCCTTCTGTGTCCCAAAGAGGGTGTGAAGACGTCTTAAGTTATGTGGGTAAAGCCACATAGGGAGAGAGCTGAACCAACACACAGGGAAATGCATTAGGGTGTGGCAGGAGAAGGCAGTATAAATACAATGAGGTCATATCATGTGGCATTAGTAAGGCTGAGAAGTCTCTCCAATTTATATAATATTCATACTTTTAAGAATTTTCACAAGGGAGTCCAAATCTACAGACTAATTGGAGATTAAATATTAAATTAATTTCATTATCTGAGACTGAAGTTTTTGAATCTTCTGAGGACTTCCCTACCGATCATTATAAATAAGGCAGAACCCACTAGAGGTGATTTGTCCTCAGGCACCACCAAATGGAAATATTTTCCACTACCTACACTCAGTGTCTCGGAAGGAAGGTTGGGCAATCCTGCTTCCGTAGTAATACTGCCTCAGAAACCCAAGGAGGGGTCGCTATGAGTCGGGGCCGACTCGACGGCAAATAAGAACAACAACACTCAGTGTAGGGAACCACAAGAGGTCTCTTATGAAAGCTGAAAGATTAAACTGTCCCCAGGATGTTCACTCATGATGCTTTGTAGTCTTCAGGAGAAGACCTCAGAACACGGATAGAAGTTGCTGCTTAGTGGAAGCTGATGTTGTTAGCTGCAGTTGAATCAGTTCCAATCCATGGTGACCCCATGTGTGCAGAGGAGAACTGCTCCACAGGGTTTTCAAGGCTATGACCTTCTGGAAGTGGAGTGCCACACTTTTCTTCAGAGGTGCCCCTGGGTGGGTCAGAACCACTAGTCTTTCAGCTGGCAGTTCAGCGCTTAACTGTAGTGCCACCCAGCACCTCCGCTTAATGGAAGGGAGGGTATTAGAACAATTTCCCCAACAAATTCAAAACAAACAAAACTCTCTGATTTGGGAATGTGATTGTATAAACCCTACTTGGCAAAAATGTACCAGTTGGCTACAGAACAAAAGGAACTACCTGAATCCAAACTATTGACTCTTAATCCTTTAATTAGACTAAGTCCTTCAGAAGGAAGCACAACTGTTACTGAAGGAAATCAACAGAAAATACAGACTGTGATATATATTCATACACATGTGCATACATTCATGACTCAGTGTATTCTTATGAATAATCACTCATAGTAAAGGGCTCAGAGTCTGAAGAGAAATTTATTTGCCGATGAAAACCATGATTTGGAACATTAAAAAAAGTTCTGGGGATATGATTTAGGAAGGATGTGGTAAGAGTACGAGACTCAGCAACCCACGGGCATGTTAACGATGTGAACAAACGATCTGGAGTTAACTATGTTCTGACTTCAGGCCAAAGGTTTTTGCCTTGGCACGCAACAACATACGAGTGGTCAGAAGGTCCTGGCTGGAGACAGTTTATTTGGAACTTTTCTTCTTTTTCCCTAGTGTTTCATCTAGCATGTAGTCCACAGCTACCTTTGCTTCCTTTTCCAGCTTTTTCTTTTCTTTCCTTTTTTTGGGCTTTGAGGTAAAGTCGTGGTCATCAGGTGGCCACACATAATCCTCTCTGATCTTGGCATAAGATTCAGAATTCTCATCACAACAAGAGTCTCTGGGCTGCTGTTCAACTTGGTCTCTTTTCTTCTTGGCCACACACTTGGGGCTCTCTTCTTGTTCCTGAGACTTTTCTTTTTTAGGCTGCTTGGCCTTGAGTTGGGTGTTCTTCTCCAAATTTTTATCTTTTGCTGCATTGTTTCTTTTCTTTCCCCTTTTCCATTCAATGCAGGCCTCTGAAAGGTCAGGATCTGTAGCACTGACTTGTGGCTTGTTCTTTAGCTCTGCCAGCCTCTTGGCAAAATATTCCTGGATGGTTAAGGCACTGGTTGTTGTAGTGGAAGTTTCATTCTCATCTAGAGTGGTGGGACTGGAATCATCCTAAGGTGTGGGGAAAAAAATAAACACCAGTTAAACATCAACTGTTTATTCCTCAAAGTATTCCAGGGGCCTCCATGTACAGTAGCCACTCAAAATTAACCATTAGGAAACAAGGCTGATAGCTCAACTTTCCCCCTTTTCTCTCTCCCCATTAGCATACCCGAACTGCAAAGTATAGAACAAGGTGATCATGTATTTTGGTTGAATACTATATAAGGCAATAGGTTGAACACACAGACTTCAACTTCAGAAGTTAGCTGGCAAATCACCTACATGGACTCCTGAGTAAATTTTTCCTTAAAAACATGTTATAAATGGTGATTAAGTTCCTAGAGTCTCCCATGAAAAACAAAGACATTGAAATTCTGTAGCTTTGTGATTTTGTTAAGGAGTTCTTATGGCACAGTGGTTAAAACATTCAGCTGAACCAAAAAGTAGAACCCACCAGCTGCTCTGTGGGAGAAAAATGAGGCAGTTTGCCTCTGTGAAGATTTACAGCCTTGGAAACCCAGTCCTCCAAAAGGGCTGCTGAGTCAGAACTGATTTGATGGCACTGAGTTTTGAGTTTGCATGTTTGTCGACCTAGAAATTTACAGGATATGTTAATCCTTCCTATGAGAACAGGATCCAAATTCCAACCTGGAACCTGATGGCTGGGAACACCTTCCTTCTCCTCCTCCATTTAGGCAGCTGCTCTAGAAGAGAATGTGAAAGGGCTGGCACTGCTCCTCCTCCCGGAGGGACAGGTGGCCTGCAGCCTTTCTTCCCTCAAATGGTGATAGCAAGGTGCCCTCACCTCTACTTTGGCAGGGACTAGATAACTCACTGCTCTATCAGTCTTGTTTTTAAATTTGAGGAATTACTCACTCATAACAACTAGGATTAAGTGAAATTTACATTTGAATTTTAAATAAATACATTTAGCTTCAAAGCTAGAAAATTCCTAACACAAACAGTTGAAATAAACAATGAAATGCTGCTATCACTATAGGCTGTGGTTGGTTGGCAGTAAAGTGATAAAAACCTTAGTATAAGTAATGTGTAAAAAGAAAACCAAAAAAACTCCCCCCCAAATCCAAACACATTGTCACTGAGCCAATTCTAATTCACAGCAACCCCGGGTGTTAGAGTGAAAATGCCCCACAGGGTTTTCTTGGCCGTAATCTTTATGGAAGCAGATCACCAGGACTTTCCTCTGTGATGCTGCTGGGTCACAGAGACTTTTTAAATAGTCAAGTCAATAAACAATACAATCATGCTACAATTAGCTTTTTATAATTTCCCAAGTTCTTATATACATGCTTATTTTCACAGGAAGGGAGAGTTTGCTCTGCTCTGTAACGTTATAGAAAGTAGGTTTTTGAATAAATCAATTATCAAATCAAGATTCCACAAATTATTCTGAACTTGGCTAGCAAAGGCTCTGCCTGTGCAGACAATTTAATTATAAATCATGATACACAAATGGGCCTTGTATATTCTTGACACAGTGGCATTCAAAAGCCAGCTCTGTGGAACAAAAAGTAAAATCACATTTGAAATTTCAACAGAATCAGTATTATAGCAATACTAATTGAGCCTTGAGTGGCAATTGCCCCAGAGAGCTTTCACCTAAAGGCAGCTTAATAACAACATCACTACTTAGCAAATCAACACAAACTTTTAACACTGGGCTAAAATAACCAAATCATGTGGTTAATTTTGAAATTTCAAAATGCAAAATGCAGGGCATGTGGCATAAATTAACTGAGTTCTGGAAAGAGGTTCAAATTTTATCTATCAGCATTCAATTTTTGCTGGTATCCTTCAAGAAATTTTCAGAAAAAGAAAAAAAATCTCTCTACCCCAGAAGCCCAAATCCAGGTCACTTTGTCTTTTTGTTCCTCAATGTTGAAAAAGAGCTTAAACATTGTGTAGCAGAATGAAAAATCTTCCCTAGACTTTCTAAGTGCTAGCAAATCCTCATTTAATAGACGTGAAATGTCTTGCCTTCCACAACTCATTAAAGTGCACACACCCATGGCCACACACTTATACATCCTCTGTGAAGATGGTCCATTTATGTAAAATAGGACTCATTTATAGTTTCATAGCATTAAAAGGAGCTTGTCTTAAATGTGGGCCAACTCTTTTGGAGTGTATTTGTGTATTGAGAACACAAGTTCAAGTTATATCTATGGCTCCTTACCTTGCTCACTTATTTATAACATTCTTAATTTGTCCTTTTAACAGTTTAATCATAAGAACTAATTGCTAGTATTAAATAAACTTTCAGTTATTAGGAAATACAAGACCAGTTCTGAGTCACTTGTTGAATTCAGTGGGGCTTTCTAATCCTAGAAAATAACTATGATCATAATCAACTCCTATGGTGATAAGGATTTTAATAACTATGGGCCACTGCACACCAAGTTTAGTGGGGCATAGAGATAAGCAAGAGAGGTGCCAGCCCCAAATCCCATTTATCCTAAGGAAAGTACAGGCAAAAGAATAACTTGCTGGGCAGAGTTGTTTAATGCCAGGGGCTGCCACCCTCTAAAACTACAGGAATGTATCTGTTTAAAAAACACCCTGGAAACCATGGAGGAAAATGTTGCCAATTTAATTTCTGCAGGATCAAAGCCTAAGATACATAACTTACACACTTAAATTCATAAACTCAGTTTTTACTACAGAGATTATAATCCCTATTTCTATATTCCTGGCCACAGAATCGTGTGAAAAATATACACCTTTTTAAGAATAGCAATACTTTTTTTTTTTTTTTTGCGATTTGGGTGAAAGTTTACAGAGCAAATTCATTTTCCCTACAGCAGTTCATACATATTTTGGTTCATGACATTGACTGCAATTCCCTGCAAAGTAACAGCTTTCTTCCCACTTTCTCCCTGTAGTTACCTCTGCCCTGTGTCCCTATTTCCTATGCATTCCTGCCTCCTAAGCTATCTCCCTGTGAAAATACTGCCATTCTGAAGAACAGTAATACTTTTCATGTTTGATCTTTATTTTGAAGTGAAAAAGTACTGAGAAAAGCATCACTTACTTCTTAGTATTTTGAAATATAAACGGAATCTTCCTATATTTCCATAAAACACAATACAACCTCAAATAAAAATCTGTAATATTCATCTGTGACTTTCACTATTTCATAGACTTCAAGAATGTCCAAATTTGCATAATGTTGTTCTAAAAACTGTTGTTGTTACGTGCTGTCGAGTCATCTCTGACTCACAGCAACCCCTCCTTGGATTTCTGAGGCGGTATCACTATGGAAGTAGTTTGCCCAACTTTCCTTTCAAGGAGTGGCTAGTGGGTTTGAACCGCCAGCCTTCTGGTTAGCAGTCAAGTAACGTGAAAACTTCCTGTCCATACAGAGTATTATCAAGGGAGTGGTGGTTAGCTAATCGCTTTGAACCATCTGGGTCAGAATTTTTTTTTTTTTTTTTTCCAGTGACCTGTTCAATATCTTCTTTTGCTATGGGTTTGTTCAAGTTTTCTAATTCAGTCTGTGTTAGTTTCAGTAACTAGTGTGTTTCTACAAATCTGTCCAATTCTTTTAGGTTTTCAAATTTGTTGGCACGAAGTTCTTCAAAGTATACTACTGACATTATTATACTTATTTCTGTTGGCCTTTTGTGACATTGCCCATTTTAATTCTTATTCATGTTATTTGCATATTCTTCTTTTCCTTTGTTACATTTGTCAGTGGTTTGTTGATTTTATTATTTTTTTCAAAGAACTAATTTCTAGTCATTTTGATTTTTTCTATTGTCTATTTTCTGTTTCATTTATTTCTACTTAAATCTTTACTATTTCTTTACTTCCAGTGATGAAAGATTTTTTTTTTTT